CAATGCCATTTTTGTGCAATTCTGGGATGTTTTTTTAAGTAAAAATAAGTCGACGTGTACATGGTTCAGTGATATTTTAATGAAATGATAGTTATTTTGTGAATTTTATGCTTGTAGGAATTTGGTATACGTTTAAGTTGAAATAAACGTGCATGGAAATAATTTAAATATTTGATACTAAATATTTGTAATGCTTCATGTATGAATTCGTTGGTGACGTGTATAATGTAATAGATGATTTAGAGGTAAAAGTTTTTGGATATTTTATTTATTTTATATGTGGAAATGTTCATATTAGGAAAGGGTAAATACTTTTTCGCGATCATGTAATTTCATATATGTTCTTTTAACCGGGTTTAAAGATTGAGAAAATTGTCATGTATTTTCGTGAAATTTTTCTGATTTATGAGAAAAAAGCAGTGTACATGGATATAGTGAAGAGTGTGCGCAATGCCGTTTTTGTGCAATTCTGGGATGTTTTTTTAAGTAAAAATAAGTCGGCGTGTACATGGTTTATGTGTATGTGTTATTTTGAAAAATGCGTAAGGAGTATGGTATTGTGCACTTTTTCCTAATTTTGCAGTGAATATTTGTCATGATTAAGCAGTTTTGTTTCATAAAATTTCTAGCATAAGTGTAATTCGGCTAGTAGATTGTTGGAAGAAGTGTTCAGGAGATAAAAAGAAACATGTCTTTACTTCGTGAAGACAAAATGACGGCGGGGGAAAAAAATAAAGGGTTGCTGTAGGAGAGTTGGTCGCCAAATTTTTGCCAAAAAATCGCCAAGTTACCATAATGTAAAGATCAACCGAAATTGCTAACAAAGTGCATTTTAGGCTGATCTTTGGAATATGGTAACTGATAGTTTGGCGACATTTTGGAGGCGATAAAGGTTACTACCTAGGACTTTGGTAATAATGTGAGAAGCACTCAGTTCCGATTATGCATTATTTTGTGCGAGGGAAATGGGAGATCATGAGATATGTCATGTGACATTAATGTACGAATTACAGTTGTTTAGTCGGAAAAGGGGGGGAATCTGGAAATTTCGTATTTAGCTATATTCTGTGTTGTGTGAAACGTGACATTAATGGACGAATTACAGTTCTTTTAATCGGAAAAGGGGGTTAATTTGGAAAAGCTTCATCATTGTGTGTTGTGTGAAATAGTGTTGATTAATTTTCGGATTGCATGGCACTATGTAAAGTGAATTCTAAATTTTTAATGCGTTTATCTGATAATAATAATAAGTTGAAATTGTGTGAAAGGAAGGATATTACAAGTTTAAAAATGGTGGTGCAAGAATATGGTGAAAATGGACATTTTGTGAAAAGGAGTGTAAGGAAGGGTACGTGGTTTGCTGAAAGTAGTTTTGAGTATAGGTGAAATTTTATTAATTTCTTATTACTTGGTGAATAGACTTCCAGTTGACTACTGGATTTAGGATTTAGAAATTAGCAGTAGTACTGCAGCGATGTAATGAAGATTCTGAAGAAGATTAGGTAAGTTAGTATTTTTAATCATTTGAGGATATTATTTTTATGCATTGTTCTAAATGTAAGGAGTAAATAAATTAAAATATTATTTGAAAATTGTTATTAGCAATGATTTAGTTCAAAGTAATTAGGATCGTAATCTAATTTTTATTAATTTAATGAATGTGCTTATTTATATTTTAAGTAGAGTTTTTTAATTTAATGATCGTGATTTTGTGAGTTATATGTTTGTAGTACTTTGGAATATGTTTGAGTAGTATACGTCGAGTATTTTCATGCATTTTTGTGAAATTTTTCTAATTTATGAGAAAAAAGCAGTGTACATGGATATAGTGAAGAGTGTGCGCAATGCCATTTTTGTGCAATTCTGGGATTTTTTTTTAAGTAAAAATAAGTCGATGTATACATGGTTTAGTGATATTTTAATTAAATGATAGTTATTTTGTGAATTTTATGTTTGTAGGAGTTTGGTATACGTTTTAGTTGAAGTAAACCTGCATGAAAATAATTTAAATATTTGACACTAAGTATTTGTAATGTTTGCGGTATGAATTCGTTGGTGACGTTTATAATATAATAGATAATTTAGAGGTAAACGTTTGTGGATATTTTATTTATTTTATATGTGGAAATGTTCATATTTGGAAAGGGTATATACTTTTTTCGCGATAAGGTAATTTCATATATGTTCTTTTTACCGGGTTTAAAGATTCAGAAAATTGTCATGCATTTTCGTGAAATTTTTCTAATTTATGAGAAAAAAGCAGTGTACATGGATATAGTGAAGAGTGTGCGCTATGCCATTTTTGTGCAATTCTGGTATTTTTTTTTTTAAGTAAAAATAAGTCGACGTGTACATGGTTTATGTGTATGTGTTATTGTGAAAAACGCGCAAGGAGTTTGCGATTGTGCACTTTTTCCCAATTTTGCAGTGAATATTTGTCATGATTAAGCAGTTTTGTTAGATAAAATTTCTAGTATAAGTGTAATTTGGCTAGTAGATTGTTGGAAAAAGTGTTCAGTAAATAAAAAGAAAAGAAACATGTCTTTACTTCGCGAAGACAAAATGGCGGCGGAAAAAAAAAAAAAAAATATAAGAGGGTTGCTATAGCAGAGTTGGTCGCCAAAAAATCACCAAGTTACCATAATCCAAAGATCAACTGCATTTTATTTTACTGTTTTTACTATGTAGAATGTTATGTTTATTGTTTTTTTACTATGAATTTCTGTTGTTGTTTTTTGAATTGTTTGTAATTTTAGTTTATTTTATTAAGTTGTGCACGATGACTAGATTGTGCAATTTGTAGATTTGTTTTAAAGTTTAAACAGGATACTGTGTACATGGCATTCTTTGAAATTTATTGTTATGTTAATTTATTAAAGCGAAGTGTTCGTAGATTCCTTCATTGCCTAGATTGTGCAATTCGTAGATGTTTGTTTAAGTTAAAACATATTGCTGCGTACATGGATTCTTGCCAAATACTTTTGGTTAGAAACTTTGTTTTTGCGATCTAAATTTTGTTTTTGTTTCGGATTTTTAGTTTAAATTGTGTGTTCAAAACATGGTTTTTGCACATGCGAAAACCACGTTTTTGGAGACATTTTAGGCCTACAGTTCGAAATGTAGACAAAAAAATTTAAATAGTAATAATATGGCACCATGGAGTTTCTCGCCAAAAGCATTTGGAGACAAATTTGTCGCCAAGAGAGGGCATATATAAGAGTAGTTCCGTTTATTTTAATCTGCACATAGCATGGATACAGGCACGTCCATTAATTACTTTCATGGCATAATACTTTTATTAACATTTCAATCTTTAAATACTATACCCTTTTAAGATAAACTTTCACAGAAAATAATCTTATGTATGGGAAAAAAATCAGCTTTAATTACCATGTCAACCTCTATAGTGAAAAAACTATGAATTCTATTTTTAAAACAAAAGAAAAACCAAATACCATTAACTAACAATCACTGAAATACCTATAATGAAAATTACACATAATTTTATTTTTATCCATCCTAAAACCAATCAAAATTTAATAGCCACATGGAGCTAATATCACTTTACGGCTATCTTAAAAGGCCTATACTGAAAACCTGTCCCATGTAGTACAAACTAATAAAATTACTTTTGGTAATTCATAAATTTCTTTTATTATGTAGAGTCATTTCTCAAATAAATATTTATTTAAATTAAAACTATAAATGGCAATCACTGAACAATACATAAAAAAGCAGACAGATTTAAACTACACTGACATAGAATTATGCAAAGTACATTATGCACTTCCGATATGTAACACTGTTCAAAATGAAATTTAAACAAGTATATTTATATATCACACAATGATACAAAAATGGCCAATATTACAGTCTTACAATATCATTCACCTTTATCATCAATCTCTGAATATGAGTATCAAAATAATTACTTAAGCCCGTGAAACCAGTTTTAAATGCAGTTTTCTGTTTGGTATTTGTAAAAAAGAAATTTATTTGTACAAGATAATCGAACAATTGAATCATTTTCTACGATTACAAAGATTAAATTTCAGACAAGCAGGTAAGCATTGAACAAAATTTGGAGAAAAACATCGGAATCATAGACGGCTTACAGTCTAAGTATCAAATAATTCTCAGTTATTTCTGCATCTCAAAAAATCTTACATATTATGCATTCATACAATATCACGATTTCTATAATGATGTGTAAAAATTTAAATTCTATCTTTTCATTGCTATAAAAGAATCTATTAGAAACCTTTTTTCAAGCTTAGCATCAGAAAAAATGGAATTTAAACATTATACACAAGAAAAAGAAGGAATTTAATATAAAAGGCACAGGCAACCAAACTTTCTCACTTGAGCATCCAAACTTTACATATCAAATTACTATAGCACTTGCTATTTAAGTAAATCTACGCGATCATTTTTTGAAGAATGGGCAATGATATAATCAAATACTACAGGGAAACACAAGAAAACAAATTTATAGCTTTGCTCCGTGTAATACAACATGCAACAATTTCATCTCAAGAATAAATACAAATTACTAACTATACTGCGTATGATACAGGACTCTTTTGTTTTCCTGAACGCTAGCGCTTCATGCAGCAATGAATTATACCATTATATTAAATGAACCCGCCAATCTTAAAAACTAATACAATATATAACTATCCCGCGCATGTGCTTTGACGTTTACGTGACCGACTACGTGATAATGATATTCAACACAATTCAGCAACACAGAAACATTCTTAGGGATGAAATTGCATTACTACTTCTATCATGCATTTTCTTAATATCAACAAATAATAAATTCATGGGAAAGTTTTTGAATTCAAAGAATATAGAGTGCAGAACCCCTACAAACGAAGAATTCTAAATGTTATGCCTAACGTTAATACATAGCACGGAAGTGTTCTGAAAATATTTTAGAACAACACACACGTTTTAATTCAAAAGGTGCAATCAAATAAGCCTGTAATAATACCTACATTGTACTCGTGGTCCAGAGCTTGTAATAATTTCTCTTTTATTTCGTATGGCGAGTGCTGCATGGGGCCGCGATTCGGTATCCCCACAAATGCTTGCTTGCACACCACTCTGTGCTACTTCCTACTATGAGCGCTCGATGATCCAGCAACGATATGGCGGACATAAGGAAGCAATGGCTGACGGGAAATATGTGTGTAGGGAAAAAACACCAGAATGTATGTTACGTTGGGGACCGTTGGAGTATGTTGATGCGCAGATGTCTCTGCGCAACTAGTCGTACGTTTGGCATTTTTATCATGTTTGAGCTAACCGTCCGACGTCGTACTTGTAGACACTTCCGGGACCGACACGGTTACGATACCAATTACATATATACAGAAAATTGCTATCGATATCGATTACTTCCGTTTCAAACTGCGGAATAAAAGCCACTTTACATGATCCAGTTTCTTCACCATCAATTCAATTTTTCATTTAACACGTTTCGATGAAGTGGTCAACAAGATCCCCTGTAACTGATAATCTAGTTAATTTCAATGAGTATAATAACCTAGTTATATTTAATGAATAAATTATGATTTATTTATGCAATGCGAAAACGAAGCAGGTGCCCTCAGAAAATTTTCCAAGTTCTTGCATGCTTTGCAGTCTAAGCAACATACCAACAAAATATGTAATAACCACACTTAAGTTATTCTAATGCATATATATTCTGCTCATTTTGCTATTTGCAATTAGTATAATAATGATTTGCGGCAACAATAAAATCTGTTTGCGGTTACTGCAGGGCAGAATTTGCGTATTTTGTTAATCCCATAAAATGACATATATACAGGCCCGCGCCGACAATAGGTGCAAGGTCGCGCGGCGAACGAGAGTGCAAAGTCCAAAAGGCGCCTGGCAATCATTAAAACAAGCAGTTCGTCTCGCTGCCTGTCTAAACAGAACCGATTAGGATTTTAACTTTAAACGACTCATGTAAAACCTGGAAAGCTACTTATCAGGATATATACCTAGGCAGTCTCGGCCACGGGTGTTTAAAATCAGTCTCCACAGGACTGGAGTCATTGCTAGCGATGGCTGTTTCAGGCTCGACAGTTACCATATGTCATTTTAGTCCGTTCAGCTGGTTGTGGGTCGAGTTATATGTCAGATTTTAGGTTTTCCGGCGAAACAACCCTGTCGGTGGAGTTGGATCAGCGAACCTTAAACTGCTTGAGGTTCCAGTGGGCGCCTGGAGCACAAACTGCATATTAGTCTCCTTGTTTCTTCTGGAGACGTCTGAACTGACATAGTTCCCAGAATAGTTAGCAGCCGGGATTTTGGCCCGGTCTTTTACAGTGTTTAATGACTTCGTGTTGCTGTCCGGTTGGGAGGCTCTGTTTATGTCCCTTTTACATCCCTCCAGACGGGGCCGTGGACTTGAATTTCTAATATTCCTGTTGACCACTTAGCTCGTCGGCTCGGCCGTAGGTTAGCGGCCTCTTGTCGCCTTTGGGTTGGGCTTCAACGTGCGTTAAAGGCAGCCCTAGCTTGCCAGTCTGAGTGACCTTCCTCTTAGCACGTCTTATTTGAGTGACCGAAAGTTTTTACGGGCAGGACTCGTCTCTGTTTCTCTCGGCTCATTTGAACTTAAAAATACGTGATGCCGATGCTAGTAAGGGCTGGGCTTCGTAAATTGCTTAAGCCTATTTTGGTTTACGTGCAATAGTAGTAATTCTGCACATGAGCTTTTTTAGTTGCTGTTTTGGTTGTCTCGTAAAAGTAATGCATTACTATAGTGAAACTGGTGACTTTTTATCGGAAAAGCACGGGGAGCATAATTACTCGAAAACTGTTTACCTCTCATGTATTCTTGGCTGAGTAAATTACTAATACCTAAACCATTTTCCTCATTAAAGTCTTTTCGTCCTTCACCGGTCGTATCTGTTGAAACACAAAATACTATAAACCTTTCTTCAATACTCGTGTTCGTATTTTCTAAATTAAGATAGATACCTCATACAAATTAATATTTGCTCTTGATGTCTGTCATCAGGGTTACAATCAAGTAAAATAGAAAAATAATTTGCCTGTTTGGCCTTACTTAAAATAATTTGCTTTATATTATCCCCTGATAAGCCAATTCTTTCATTTTGAATTTTATCTTCAAGGCAATGAAGCATATTTTTTTAAGTTGGAATTTTATTAATATATACAAATATGATAGGGTCAATTATTGTGATCATTTCCACACACTTTAAAAAATTATTATTTCTTTCGAATAACTTGTTACTGGAAAAACGGAAGTTTTGTTTGGGTAGAATAATTCTTTCAATAACATCACGCCTACGCTAAAGGCCCGATTACACTAGCGGAACTTTGCTCCTAACAAACGTAAGCTAACTCGACTGCCTAACCTAACCTAACCCAAGTAGTCAATTTTGAAAAGGAATTGACGTAAGAGATGAAAAATTTTAACTCCGAGCCTATGAGATAGAGCTATTGGAGATATAGAAGCTTAATGTCATAGGAGCTTTAGTGCCTTTTTAAGTGTAACAAGTGTCTTCTTTGAATAAGGCTCTTATATACCCGAGCTACTATATAGGAGTCTCATCCTTGGTTACATCAAACTTGTATTTCATTTCCTGTGTTTTACTTAGGCCCATAATATTTTTTTGTATAGCGATATTTTTTCTCTTTTTAAACCATTTTCTTACTGGCTTTAAAAAATTTCATATCGAATGCTTCGAAATAATTTTTTCTAAAACAAAATTGACCCTCGTTCTATTTGTCTTTCCTAAGCACTTTCTTTTGTCCTTCCTTATTTTTCGCCATGAGGGCAAAAAGACTTGACGGGTGCAAAAGTTAGCTTTCCTGTTTGTTTATTTCACATGAGGCGCGAAAATAAACGTTCGAAAAGTGAGTACTTCTACATTTTAAAATATTTCAGATGTCAATTTAACTGTATATGCATATTCAGTTTCTGAGATTTTTTCCCTCAAAGAACCCGTTGGCTTTGTAATTTTACTCGCCACGACTGATCGACTATGAGCGGCGTATAGTTAAGTTATCAGACAAAGCACAGTGCAGGATTTACATACTATAAGCCACACAAGCTATAGTTTAGGGCCCCCACTTTCTTGGGGAACCCCCCAAAAATGGCCCCATATCTCAAATAGCTTATCAAGTGTAAACCCTGCCCTGATTAAGCACATGGAATTGAGCCGGTTAAATGTGATATTTAGTGCATATAATGAAATAAGTTAAATAATAAATGACATAAATTCAAGTTAGCAGAGAAAACAATATATGAAAGTAAATATTATTATACTTAGGTTTATATTATACTTGTGTTCTTCACAGCGTTGTTAAAAAAAACTGCTGTCTCTGTAAGGCAATGATTTTGGAACACAATTTTGTTTCATTTTGTTATTCAGAGGCCCATATACACAGTAAAAAATCCATGAATTGTAGGACAGCATAATTTATTTAAACATAGAACAGATGAATAGAGCACACAGCAATCGAATAATACATCACACAGAATAGTATATCTCAAGCCTGAGTATACTCAAATGATGGATGTGTCAGTAGAAGTGACCACTGCGGCTCTAATAATTAATACGTATGCATGTAAGAAAAAAGTTCACTCGCCTCCGCTCAGCACACTCCTCCTCTGAGCAACATTTTTCAATGCAAATAGAAAATACGAACAAGCAATATATAACACATTACATCAAGAAATTAAAGAAATGATTTTCAATTTATACAGTAATTTTTCTTCACCAAGTAGAAAATTCTGCAATCATATTATCAATTGGTGAATATTCTAATTTGATGATATTGTCGATCACTAAGTCCTTCATAAAATGAAAATGTAAGTTCATGTGTCTGGACTAGAAGATCTTTCACGGTTGATCCACTGGATAGCAGCTTGACTGTCTGTATTCAGAATCACTGCACCATTGAAAAATTGCTTAGATTTTAATTCTGATTATAAATTTACCGTCCAAACAATATCCTTACAAATTTCAGGAATAGAAAACAATTCTGCTTCACAAGTTGAGAGACTAAAACATTTTTTCTTACTACATTTCCAAGAAATCAATGAATCACCTAGTAAAAGAAAAAACCACCAGAAAATGACTTACCATTTTCTGCATTTCCCCAACTGTCATCAGTGTATGCATTTAAAAATCCGAAATCATTGCTACAGAAAGTTTTTTTTTTAAATCTTTTTTAATACCTTAATAATCTTTTAGCTAAAAGGTAATGCCCTTTCCTGTTACATGATTAAATTGTGAGAAATCAAATAATATATTAGGATGCTTTCTATTCATTAAATATAAAAGTTCCCCAACTAATTCCAGATATAAAAGTTGTGTCAGTACTTTCATTTGTACTTAAGAAAACTTTATTTGCCTTTTTAACTATTGCAGTTTTTACTGCTTTATGATTTTCTAGATTGTTTTTAATAAATAAGGAATCAATATATTCTGTTTGAGACAAATATAATATACAGTCAAAAGTCGTTAATTCGGACACCCATAATCCGGAATGATCTATAATCTGGACCTCAAAGCTAAAAACTTTCTGTGCATGCACCGCGTTGACACATGCGCATAGGCGTTTACGTGTGCGCGTAAGACCTTTACGACTGCTCATATGCGTGTATGCAAGCGCAGAATACGTTTTCGCGTGCGCGTTTAATGTATAACGGATGGTATAAGCTAAAATTATCTAATTATCTATTTCAGTTAATGTTGATAATTGCGTTGTTCTTTAATCTTCGAATTGGATGTGGCTTATTATTTTTTGCAGACTGTAAGAGCAATTTTATAAAAGTAAACTTGAACTTAAATCATCAACATAAAAACGTTATATAAAAAAAGTTTTTACTATCATTGTTAATGAATATACAGGGTAAAAGTATATTTACGGGTACCCATTGGCGAAAATTAGCGGCACATGGATACTGAGTTTGTGCAATTCTTTGACTAGGTATTGTGCACTTCCTTTGCTTTATCCATGTATATGTCGGCCTATTTTCACTTAAAAAAAAAAAAAAAAAATCAGACAATTAAACAAACTTGGCATTGCGCACTCCCTTTGTTCATGTACACATTGATATTTTTTCACTTAAAAAGTCAAAGGAGCACCCAATTCTAGGTAAAAGTATATTTACGGAACATTCAACTACTCA